TGACTATGTAATTGTTTCACTCTTTATTCATGTTTGTAGGTGTTTTTCACAACCGTCTCTTTTAATACTTATGTACTTAAGTCAGCCAAGTAGAGCTAATACTGACGTAGTTTTTGCATATTTACATTTTTCATCTTTTCACTGTCATGAATTCTGAAGCCATTATGTTGGCAATACAGATATATCCTTATTTTGAATTTTGTGTAGAATGGATTTCAAGCAGTAAAGTTTATTGGATTATCAAACTATTTCCATGACTTGATAATCCAGTATTTTCTATTTATCAGTTATAAATGGTGCAATACAGGCAATATTACATGAGGGTGTTTGTTCTAAATGTTTTTGTTATTGAGTAGTATTAATTTAGCAGCAATGTAGAAAGCCTCATTGTTCTTATGATTTATAATTTGTATTTTTTGGATAAGTTTTTGATATTTTCCATCTTATTAGAATTTTTTCTTTAAAATTGTCTGCTTATTTCTGTTCTTCATTAATCTTTTGAGACCTTTATTATATTATGTATTTAGTACAGGGTCTACAGAGTCTCATTATGTAAATTGGACTCCTAGTGATCCTCCTGTTTTGAGCCTCTTAAGCACTGGGATCACAGGCATGTGTCACCAGCGCCCAGTCTCAATCACCATATCAGCGCGTCTGGGGCGCAGGGCTGAGTCCAGGAAGGCACACCGGGGATTGCACCCTGGCTGCTGCGCTCTGCCTAAGCAGGTGCTTTAGTCCTCTGAGCTCTCTGGTTGGCCCTGAGACCTTTGTTTACTGACTTGTTCAAGCATTTAAAATTTTAGTCCTTTATCTGTTTTGTTTATAGCATGTATTTTCTCTAACCTGTTATTTACCTTAACTTTATGGAGCTCTTTTATTATGTGGAAGGGTTTTTTGCCTTTAAAATTTTTTTGTAACTATTGCTTTTATGCTTAGCTATTCCTTGGCTTCCTGGAATTATATATTAATATTTAAGTCTTCAAAATTTTGTCTGTTGATATTAGTTTATCCTTCTCTTTTAAATAATAAAGATGTTTCAAGTAACCACTTCTGCACACAGCTATAAATTTATGACATGGTGTTTGATATGCAGTTTCCATGTTCATTATTTTCTAAAATACTCATTTTGTTTCCTTTTTGTCCATTGGTAGTTTAAATTGTCATGTATTTAGGGGTTCTTATTTGTACTTATATTGAAGTTTGATTCTTACATTAGGTTAGTGGTCTTTAAAACGTTCTCTTATTTTAAACTGTTTTAATTCTTTTTAGAACTAATATTTCCTCATAGAATAGATGATTTATTGAATTCTGGCATGGTGGCGTGCACCTGTAATCTCAGCACTAGGGAGGCTGAAAACAGGAGGATCACTGTGAGTCTAAACCGCATAGTGAGACTCTGTACCAAAAAAAAAAAAGATAATTTATTATATATGAGGTACTGTGAAAAAAATGTTGAGTGTAGTGCCTGGCACATAGTGCTTTAAAATTGTTGTAACTGTTTTACAGATTTAGAAAGTTGTCCTTTTTACTCAGTTTTCTTTTTTAGAAGTAGCAATCATTCTGACAGGCTGAAGGAAGAGAATCATGTTTGAGTACAACCTGGTCAAGTTAGTGTCTCAGAGTAGGGCTGGAGATGTAGCTTACTGCAAAGCTCTGGTTCATTCCCAGTATTGCCAAAAATTGCTGTAGTTTTTAGATTGCATATCTAAGTTAAGGCACTGTACAGTTCAGAGATGAAATGTGAAGACTCATTTTAAAGAGACCTCTTTTTAAAGAGTGCTGTATTATGGTAATTTGGGTAATACAGTTTTTCACTTGTATCTATTGTTTGGACTTATGTTACTTTAAATATGTACATATGAATATGATACTAGTTACAAATTTAATTTCAAAGAGTAAATACTGTGTATTCAGTTTTCACAAGGCTAGTTCCTTTTTTTTTCTTAATTAAACTGTTTATTGGCTAACTAGTATATACAGATTAAGTATGATATAATGCATCAGCCTTATAAAATTCAGAGTACAGTTTATATACAATATAATTATGTCAGAGCTTTTCACAACCAGATATTTAATGGATGTGCCTTGTAGTTCGTCATATGCTAGAATAAAGAATTCTTCATACCTTACTTTTTAGCAATGAAGTAGAATTTATGCTTGTACTGAGATAGGATGTTTAGGTACTCATAAAATACACCCACTTCCAGTTAGAGAACACAGCTCAGAAATTTTTTCAGCTCTCTGTTCAGCAATCTGTGGCTAGATAGTGGTTCTGTGAGGCTTGCCATAGCTTGGCAAACAGCATTTCATTCTATTCTCTATGATCTCTTCCTCCATTTTTTTTTTTTTTTTTTAGGGCTAGTTTCTTGACACTATCAAAGACTGATCACACTCAGTACACATTCGTGGTCACAAGGGAGACTGCAATTTTTTTTTTTTTTTTTTTTTAGGGCTAGTTTCTTGACACTATCAAAGACTGATCACACTCAGTACACATTCGTGGTCACAAGGGAGACTGCAATTAGAAAAAAGCTTCAAGTTTATAGATGAGAAAGAGAAAAGACAGGATTTGAATTATAATATTTTTGAAAGGGTGCATATGATATGGAATTCATATAAAAGTGTCTTTACCTGTTGTCCTTCTACTATCCAGCATCACTTCCAGATGCTATTTCTGGGGACTGAACTTGGGACCTTGTACTTGCCAGGCAGGTGCTTATTCTGTTGAGCTATATCCATGGCCCTCCAGATATTGTTTATGTTGTTTTTCCAGAGCTATTCTGCAAAACAACACAATATGTTTGTGTACATTTTATTTTAGTCATATAGTTCTTAAAATCACTTGCATTTAAGTTTTTCATTTGTATGTATAAAATCTTGAGTGTGTTTTAGTATAAGTGATGTATGACTAAGAAAATGGGCTGGGACGTAGCTCAGTAAAATAAGTGCTTGCCTGGTAAGCACAAGGACCTTAGTTCAATCCCCAGTTTGACCAAAGAAAGAAAACCTTACAGTGAAATAATGACTTAAGAAATAAGTCTAGGCTAGGGACGTGTCTGAGTGGTAGAGCTCTTACCTTGCATGCATAAGACCCTGAGTTTGCTCTCTAGCAGCATACACACAAGAAAGAAATATTGAGGGTGATTTGGCTATGTCATGTATCACCTCATTGATTGCCAGGGTTAATATAGCTCACCTGGCTGTTAAGACATGTGTCATCTTCTTGTTTAACTCTGTTTAGACATATGTTTCCCTCCCAAAACTGCATGCCTCCTCACTCCTAGTAGTAGAAGACTGTTTCCTTGGTCAGGGGTGCGTGAGTAGCAGTGCTCTTTTGCTAGAACTTCCAAACAAGCTCAAGAAATAAGGGCTGCTTTCCAGGGTTTTTTAAAAACAAAAATAATGATGTTAAGGATTTGGTTAATTTTAACTCTTTTATTGATACAGGGTCTTGCTACGTAGTTCCTACTTGTAGCAATCCTCCTGTCTCAGCCTCCCCTGTGCTGGGATTACAGGTGTGCGCCACTACACCTGGTTTTGAAGCAGTCATGGCATGCCCAGGGTTCCAGGGTTGGCACAGCATGGGATACAGAGGATCAAACTTGGGACCTTGCACTTGCCAGGCAGGCGCTTATACTGCTGAGCTATCTCCCCAGCTCTCAGTTCATTAATTTTAAAATAAAGATATGTTAATTTAAATGGGAATGAAAGTGTGCCTAGTGATGGCAATGCATGAAAAATTAACAAACAAAATGAAAAAAGTAAAACCAACAAAAAACTAGTCAACCCTGAAAAGTCTTAGGAAACAAAGTGTAATTTGGATTATAATATCACTCTTCCATCTTGTTTTAGGAATGAATTACAATCTGTGAAACAAGAATTAAAACAGAAAGAAGAAGAAGTTAAATGTAAATTGGACAAAAGTGAAGAGAATGTATGTTTTATTCAATAGTTTTATAGAGTTTCAGTTCATAAAAATGACTATAAGTCTGAAAAACAAAGCAAATTATACTATTGTGTAAATAAAGATGTAGGAATTGTTCTAAGTTATTAACCTTAAAATATAGATAAAATTGGGTTATTTTGCTTATCTATATCTGTAAGAAATAGTGACAATTGTTTATTTTATTATAAATATACTTCTTATTACATAATTATAGTTGTACCTTTTTTATGTATCAGAATTTGATATTTATATTCTACCACCGAAGTACCAATGCTGCGAATGTGATATGATAATATGGAACACAGGAAAAAGTTGTGTTGCACTTTGGTGATTTTAATTTCAACAAGTTCAAATAAAAGTTTTTTAGGAAAGACTGTTATAACTGGACTAGAATAAATTATATGACAGGATTGTGCAGTGTAGTATGACATACAGGATAAGCTTGAGTCTTTTGTTGGTAAATGGATATAACTAGAGGCCATACTCTTTAAGTGAAATAGATCAGACTGGCATGTGCAAACATCGTATTGTCTCCTTAGTGTGAGAACCTGAAAGAGAAAATGGAATCTGAAGGGCACAATGGATACTGGGTAAAGGGAATGAACTTACTCAAAAGGAAAGAGTTACTGAGTTGAGGACAGGAAAGGAAGTGGGAGGAAAGAGGTATATCTGTGTATGTAAGCAGTATAGTTTGGATAACTGTACAAAAAAAATAGGAAGTGGAGAAAAAACTGTACAAAGGTAGAACATGTTATGAAGGCCATGTCTTTCACTAGTTCAGTAGATACTGTTTTATCCTCAAATATGTGTCAAGTATTGTTCTGGATGCTGAGTTTAGAGTTCATTTACTTTAGTTGGACAGTAATGATTTAATGAAGTTTTTATTGAGATGAGACCTTTTATATATGAAAATAGAGTAAGGAGAGATGAAAGGCCCCAGAAATTAGAAGGCTGTCAAAAATAGTCTTGAAGACTACTGAAATAATCTGAGTGATAGGGATATATAATGCACTGTTAGAATGCTTGCCTAATATGTGTGAGCCATGGGTTTGATCCCCAGCATGAAATTTATTGTGAAGACTCACTTAGAGAGCACAGGTTCCTAAGTCAACCATTGTGGCCAGGAGACAAGTAGTCAAGTCAGACTTGAGTTGCATGCTCATTCCTGGAAATAGTTATAGGAACTGAAGAGTATTACTATATAATTTATAGTAAGTGGTTTTGCTTATATAGGCAAGAGTATTGCTGGCCAGACCAAAACATATGTTACATATATGGATGCTTTGGAAGTCAACAGAAAGGACATCTAAATTGGATATGGTTACTCATGCCTGTTAATCCAACACCTAGGAGGTTGAAGTAGGAAGATTACCACAAGTTCGAGGCCAGCCTGAACTACATAGTCAAACCTGTCTTAAAAAAAAAAACAAAACAACAAAACCCAAAATAGCACAAAACAAAAAAAGGATGAACATGTAATCCAAACTTAGACCAGAGCAAGTTTCTTAAAAGAAATAACATTCAGGGGCCTGGGGAGATGGCTCAGTAGAAAAAGCGCTTGCCTGGCAAGTGCAAGGGCCTGAGCTCAATCCCCAGTTCCGCAAAAATGATATAACTCACTTAGATTAATAGGGTTTATTGGAAGGTAGCAAGGTGGACCCCAATATAATAGAAAAGGAATAATCCAAGTTAAAAAAGTCACATATTTATCTGGGAAGGTGTGGAAGTATGAGAGAGTATGGCATACTTAAGAAACTATAACTTCATTATGTTGGAAAGATAAAGTTAAGGTGGTGGTGATAGTGCAGAGAGTGGGGAAAGGTGAGTGTATAGAAGTTGGATCATTTAAGTTCTACATGACTAGTAAAGAAATTGAAGGTTATTAGAGAGTTTTGACTTGAGGGTTAATTATATTTATGCTTTAGAAAGATACTAGACTACTGGAATAGTGCAAAGATAAACTAATCTTAAGATTCTTTATGGTGGACCATATGTATATAAATTATTTTTACGTCAAAAAGTAGTAGAGCTGTTCTTCTTGACTTTAGATTGTATCACATATTGCCCCCCAAAAGCTATTTCTAATTTCAACTTTATTAATTTCATCCTGAAAAAATGAATTCAATGTATTAAATACTTGGATGCAATTTACTAAAAAAACTTTGTATCAGAGGCTGCTTCATTGTACTTGTGGTAGGAAAAAACCAAATTTGATGTTTAATGTAAAGTCTTCTCTAACATTTTACAGTATTTTTTGACAGTGTCGAAGGTATTAGTGATGAGTTAAGGAAAACACAAAATACAAATTAAGATTTTTAACTTATTCAGGTTTCCAGAAAAAAAAAGAAATTCAAGTTGCAGATAGTTTCAGTTTGGCTGACATTGCAGTTCCTTTTTTCTAATCCTATTACCTTAGTTCAGATATTATTTCATTTCACACTTTACCTGTTTGACCTTGTGTTCCTAATATCTAAACTGAAGGTAATACTTGTTTCTAGATTGTTGCAAGGATCAGATTAACAAATGCCTGTGAAAGATATATTTGAGACATTATATATTTTTGTATAAATTTGCGCATATTTTGTACTATAGTAATGTCAGTAAAGATGATTTGTAGGAAAAGATAGCAAGATAAACTCTCAGGAATAATAGGTTTTGATGGCATGAAGAATAGAGAACTAAGAGATACATGCAACACTTGCTCTTTCTGACAAAAGTAGCAAGTATTTTGACAGTGTCTTGGGCTGGCGAGAAAGCTCAGCAGACGAAAATGTATATAAAACATATACAGGACAGGTTTTAAATTTTTTTTTTAAAAAAATCATTTATTTGTTTGTTTGTTTGGTATAGGGTCTTGCTATGTAGCTCAGACTTGTAGTGATCCTTCAGTCTCAGCACTTAGATTACAGGCGTGTGCTACCACTCCTGGTTTCAGGGCTGGCCTGATACGGAGATCCAACAGGGTCCTTGTGCTTGCCAGGCAGGCACTTGGACTGCCAAGCTGTCTCTCCAGTCCTACAAGACAGTTTTTAAAAATTCACATAAACACTAGTAAGTCAGGTAGAATAATGCATGATCTTATGCTATCAGTGAGAAACATTAACATATGAGCACTAACCTGAAGATGATTTTTTAATTGATACATGTATGGTGTACAGAGTTTTGATATATGTATACATATATATGTATATGTAATTGTGATACAATTAAATTGGTAAACATATCCATCACTTAACATGCAAAGATGATTAGGTTTTTGTAAAAAGGACCACAAAATAAATTGGGAGTTATGATAGCTATGTGTTATAGAAGTCTAAGTTTTATAATTTCATTTATAAAAGATACAGAGGAAAATATCAATTGTGTTAACTTTTTTTTGTTTTTGAGGAACCGGGGATTGAACTCAGGCCCTTTTGCTTGCCAGGGAAGCACTTATTCCACTGAGCCATCTCCCGGGCCCCTTGTGTTAACTTTTTTTTTTTTTTTTT